GACTCAGTCTGTTTCTTGTTCGTGTGCAGGCAGCCGCAATCGCGAGTCGTTTGGAGTCAGTCAGTCAGTCTCTCTGTGCTGTGCAGGCTGGCAATCGCGAGTCGCCCCTCATTTGCGGCCTGGGCCCAGGCTCGCAGCATTAGGTTGAACTGGTCAGGGCTGCTGCTGCAAGTATACAATAACAAAGCAACTTGATTGTTGAGAGCCTGCAACACTGCACTTGCGTTCGGAAGTTCCGGGATTGGAACTGACTCAACTTGAGTCGGTTGCCTGCACTCAGGCGCATTCAATCACGATTTGCCCCTGTCTTTAGTCGTAGGACCTTATCAGTGGCTTCTTATCGATCGCTTAAGCTGGCATGCATGCGACTCGACTATCAAACGAAAGCGGTGAAACTCATGAGCGAGACGACTGATCCAGCAGCGTTTTTTCACAGATCAAGTCGAACGACCCCAGGAACATGATGCCGGCACGTTGGCTGAGATACACCGAGTACCCACAGCAAAGGCCACTGAAGTGAAAAACCTCGTCGTGGCGGCGGATCCCTGCATCAGGGGCGCATGCCCATTGCCGCAACTCAAACCAGCAGTTGTTGCGATCGTTCTCGTCCTCATGCCAGGACCAAGTCCCTTGCTGCGCAATGGCTCTGTATCCACCTCTCGTGATTCGCCTGAACCAGACGGTGCCACGTCGCTCGAAACGGGCGTCCTCGTACAATATCATGTACTCCGAACGTCGGTTCAGGTTGTTGAAGTCCTGGTACTTGAACAGTTTGAACCTGATGTGAGTGTTGCGCAGCGACTCCATGGCCAATCTCACAAAGCGACTCACAAGAGGGGCGACTCGAGCAGATCACGCGACTGCAGCTGCAACTTCTGTTCATGCAATCTGTACAGCTTGTCAACCAAAAGAGGTTTAATCGACACCTGTGGGATTCGAACCCACGCTGGGACAGTCGCACAAGCCAGAGCTGCTGCACAAAAGTCGGGAATCCGCCTCGCCAAACCTGCTTCACTGCTTCTGGGATTGACGTGAACTGACTGACTGCTTTTCAGACTCAGTCTGTTTGTTGTTGGTGTGCAGGCAGCCGCAATCGCGAGTCGTTTCGCTTCTTTGGCGGCGTGGGCCCTGGATTGCACAGTCTCGTTGATTTAGCCACGGCGTGCAAAGCTAGGTGTGAAGCATAGAGACAACACATTTGCATTCGGGGATGTGAGCTGACTTCTTATCTGATTGAGTCGCTGGATCCGAGAGTCTTTTTGATCCTGGCGTCACAACTTTGGGGTCTTAGTCTGCAGTGGAAGCTTGCAGTTTGTCGTCATTCATTCTGCTGTGCATATTGTGTTTGCATCTTGAGCAATCCATGCAATATTAGTCGGCTCAGTCAGGGCGATTTCTCAGCAGAGTCGAAGTCCGATCGAATCCAGCATGGTAGAAAGAGCACCAGCAAGATTTAAGAAGTGGCAAGTACATCCTCCATCATTTCAAGTCAAAACTAGACTACTTGGACGTCTCAGAGTTGCGTGTCCTCATTTCACTGAGCGACTTCATCTGCGTCGCCCGCCAGCCTAGTCGTCCCCTCACACTCGCGATGCCCCGAGTCGACATGAAGGCCAAGCAGAAGAAGTGGATCATGGACAGGGGTTTTATCCGACCAATGGGATTAATATCGGCTGGCAATTTCCTTTAGCAAGTACTCTCCTGCCAGAAGGACATCAGCGACCACGAGAACCTCATGAGCAAGCTCAAGGGCACGAAGTCCTTCCTTTCTGCCCCGGAGTCCAGCTGCGAGAGGGCCCTAGTCGCCAACGTGGACATCTTGGCCATCTTCATCGACATTCCCCCGGAGAACGAGTCGAAGTCGAGGGGCAAGGTCGTCCGGGTGAGGAGGGTCGACGCAATCGAGTACGTCCTCGACCGCTGCGTGAAGTCTGCCACAGCGCCTCATTTCCGCTTACTTGGTAGTAGTCGCTCGGAGTGTGTAGTGCCCATTGCAGTTCAAGCAGTCAGAGCCGGAGGGACTTTCCTCACTCAGGTGAAGATGACCGACGGCAGCATTCGCAGCGAAGCGAAGTCGATAAGTCGATTATTGACATATCACAAACGTGGCTTCGCTGCAATTGGCAAGGGCTCTCGCCGTCATCACCCCTGCTGTTTTTTAAGAGACTCATTCATTCCGTATCTGAGGCTTGGCAGAGAGGAGTGCTCACCAACGGCATCCGGCGGTTCAGCACCTCACAGCCGCGCGGCACGACTACTACTANNTACTACTACTACTACTACTCGTACTCATACTCTCAGACTTCTCAGGTCGCGTGATTGTGTGCACCAATCATAAGCCATGCATTCCAGGAGCTGCTGGAGAAATGCGAGTTTTTCCACAGACGGCCTCAACCCTTGGTCGATGATGATGCGGAATCACTAGCGGCAGTCGAGGACACGCCGCCGGTCGTCCAGGAAGAGGAGCAGGTAGTCGCCCAGTTAGTGGACCAGGCCGAAGTACTCGCAACGAGTCTCGTCTGGAATTCGCTGAGAGCGGTATTCTTGCAGAGAGTGTTTATTTAAAAAAATCGATGAGTGTCATTTATTTATAGCTGAGGCCAAGTCCCAAAAAGAGGCGACGAGTCGACCGTTCCCACGATGCTGTGAAGATGAAGATGGTCCAGTCGATCAGCTTCAGGGCCGACATGCACTGGCAGTCACCGAAGCGGGTCACGGTGCGGTGCAAGGTGAGCGGCAAGACCCTGTTCTCCCACAAATCAGAGTCGGAGGACCAGCTCGTGGCCATCTCCAACGAAATCGTTCCTTGGCCTGCCATTGTCGGAGTAGTACTAATAATAGTAGCAGCTGTCCCAGCCCAGGTCACCAAACTCGACAAGGACCCCACCTTGCTGCCTGCCGACTTGCGGTATTACGCGAAGGAGAAACTGGCTGACTTGGACTACGGCAGCAGGATGGAGTCGGAGTCATTGGCCGACGGCGGAGCCAGAAGTGACTCGGAGTCGTTGGCAGAGGGTGTTCCTGAAGGTCGCAGGTGATAGTCGACGAGGGTCCAGGACAGCTTCAGAAAATGAGGCCATGGTGTTGGCGACGGGTTTAGTTGCTTGCAATGGGAGTCACAAGCAGCACCCGACAAAGCAGACTCGGACCGAGTCGGCTTAAATCAGTCTGTGTCGAGCAGGCAGCTCAAGAGCCTTCGGAAAGAAGCGCTAGTCGGGCACATGACACCATCACTCGGGGTGCAACGCATGCAGCTGCTTGGGAACATCAGTCAGGGCTGAAAAATTGCACTGCTTCTAGCTACTGGTAATAGTACGGGTAGTATTAGTAGGAGGCAGTGCTAGTAGTGTAAGCAGTAGTCGTACTAGTAGTAGTGGCAGTTGTAGAAGAAGTAAGTAGCAGGACTAGAGAAAAGGACTTTCATACTGGTACTAGGCACGCCAGGAGCCAGCTTATTTAGTAGTGCTAGCGCTGCTCGGCCAGGACTCAGGGCGCATCATTGGGCTTGAGTTTTCGGAGATCAATCAGCCCAGGGCTCATTGAAGACAGCAAATCAACCCGTATAGTACTACTAGCATTAAATACTGGTCTAGTAGCAGTAGCAGTAGCACAAGTATTTGTCATAAGAGAGTCAGTCGGTCGTGATAGTTATCCTCGTCTTTCTGGTAAGGCATCGTATAGTACTAGACCAAGAGTAGGACCTTGTACGTAGGTCTTACTTGTAGGAGTTGCTAGTAGCACTACGAGTAGACTGCTCAAAGTGTCCGCCGCAAGGAGTCGTCAGTCAAGTTTAGGCCTTTTGACTATCTCCACTCAGTGGCCCCTTTTCCAGTGGGTCTTTCGGCCATGCCATCTACGGGTACGAAAAGGGCAGAGGAGCTTTCAAAAGATGGGGCGAAGCGTCGCAAGACGGAGTACGACAAAACACCACTGCCTGGGCCTGTGCTGCTTCGCAGGAGTCGCCCCCTTGACTTGGAGTCGTCGGAAGCTTTGGACCTGGACTCAGTGCAGGCGAAGTCGGAGGCGCCGGATGACGCAGTCACAGTCGTGGAGGACCCGCAGCCGGCTTCCGTGCAGCTGACGTTTGATGACTCCGTGACAGTCGCGGACTTGCTGAGCATCATGTCCACGATGGCCGCTCAGATCCAGTTCCTGAAGAAAGCGTGCCATGAACTCAGCCTCAGTATTTCCAAGATGGCCGAGGTTCGGTAGTACTATTTGGGAGACTACCCCTTCTGAACCCTACTTCTGGCTCTCTTAAAAAGGGACCTTACTGAGAGGGTCTATATCCTCAAGAATCCCCGTAATCCTAAGTCCCTGAGGTGAACTGTCAGACCATCGAGGCCGTCCAGGCCGCGATGATGGATCAGGCTGCGGTGCCCAGAGTCGCCCCCCACTACTGAG